CCGAAGGGGGCCCAGCAGGGAGGTGGCAGTTCTGGTCCTTACTGAGGAAGACAGAGGCAAAGAAGTTATTAAATATGTTGGCTTTGTCGTCTGGCGTGACAGCCAGATTCCCCGTCTTGTCCTGCAAGGGCCCCACATTTCCTGGGGCCTTCTTTCTACTCCCTATGTACTTAAAAAAGGACTTCTTGTTGCCCTTAATCCGGGAAGCCAGTTCCATCTCTGCCTTGGCCTTCCTAACCATCCCCCTACATCCCCGAGCAACTGTAGAATTGTTCTCCTTAGTGATGACCCCACCTTTCCATTGGGAGTAAGCCTCCTTTTTGGCAAGGAGACATTCCCGGATGTTTTTAGTGAGCCATGGAGGCTTATATGTTCTCCTGCCCCCTTTGACCCTCCTGGGGATTACCTTCCTCTGGGCTTGGAGGATCGTCTCCTTAAGGAGCGACCACTCCCTTTGGACACCCAACTCCCCTCCCCTCTGAGTCTTCAGCACTTCTCCAACTATCCTCCTTAGCTGGTTGAAGTTTGCCCTCCTCAGTTAAAGCAGGGATTTAATAGCAGTTAAAGGCTGCTATTAAATCCCTCCTCAGTCTTCTCTTCTGCAGACTAAATAAGCCCAATTCCTTCAGCCTCTCCTCAAGTCGTGTGTCCCAGCCCCCAAACCATTTTCACTGTCCTCTGCTGGACTCTCCAATTTTTCCAATCCTTTCTGGAGGAGGGTGGCGGGGTCCAAAACTGGAAGTAGCCGACAGAGGTTGAAAGGGTTCACCCATCATAAGTATATTTCGGAGATGAATAAGGAAAGAAGAGAAGGTTTTTAGGCTGAAAGAAGTCAGCATAAGCATGAGATCTAATGGCCATAAAGTGGCTAAATTAGGATTGAAATTGGATAATCTAAAGCAGATAAATTTAGTTAAAAATTATCTTTTCATTCCAATCAAAAGAGTGAAACTAGGGAATGGTCTTCCAAGGAAAGTGGGGGGGTAAAGAACATCATTTGATTTGAAATTAAACTGGATAAAAATGGATGCGATGGTATAATAGGGCAGGTAGTTTTTGTTTCTCCATGTGTGGCAGACTATAGTATAGTCTGTAATATTTCTGAGTTAACAGTGTTTACATTACAATAGTGTTTCCCATCTCAGTCTCCCCTATTGGCTTGTACACAAGGAAAGAATGAGTTAATATTATTTTGAAGTAGACCTAGGAGGATCTGCACTAAGGATCTCAGCCACCAAGGCAGTTGCAATACTTAGATGGGGCAACTGCAGCTGCACAATTGCGCTGGCAGCATGGCAGTAGTTGGAAGTTGCTGCTGCCCCAGACACCCTGCTGCATTAACCCATTGCCTAGTAGAGGTGTATCAAGAAAACAATAGACCAGTCTATATATGAGTATCCATCCAGAGCATCACTGGATTCTGGCCTCAGCACCTGGAGACTCCTTGCTGTCTCTGGCATCTGAGAGGGACAAAGACACCCTAACACAAGAGAGGCCGACTTAAAAAGAGTACTTCCAGGGACAGGGAGAGAGAGAAACAGGACGAAAAGA